TCTCTTGTACTGAGGAGCCCAGAACTGGACACAGGACTCCAGGTGTGGCCTCACCAGTGCTGAGTAGAGGAAATGATCACCTCCCTCGACCTGCTGGCAATGCTTTGCCTAATGCAGCCCAGGATACCATTTGCCTTTTTTGCAGCAGGGGCCCATTGCTGGCTCATGTTCAACCTGGTGTCAACCAGGACCCCCAGGCCCTTTTCTGCAAGGCTGCTTTCCAGGGGGTGGCCCCCAGCATATGTTGGTGCATGGGGTTGTTCTTCCCCAGGTGCAGGACTTTGCACTTCCCCTTGTTGAACTTCATGAGGTTCCTGTCAGCCCATTTCTCCAGCCTATTGAGGTCTCTCTGGACGGCAGCACGACCTTCTGATGTATCAGCCACTCCTCCTGGTTTTGTGTCATCTGCAAACTTACTGAGGGTACACTCTGCCCTATCATCCAGATCATTAATGAAGGTGTTAAATAGGACTGGGCCCAGTATTGACCCCTGGGGTACATTGCCAGTTACTGGCCTCCAGCCAGGCTTCATGCCATTAATCACCACCCTCTGGGCCTGGCCATTCAGCCAGTTTTCAGTCCACCTGCCTGTCTACTAATCCAGCCTGTACATCAACAGCTTGTCTATGAGGATCTTATGGCAGACAGTATCAAGTGCCTTAGTGAAGTCCACATAGATGATATCCACTGCTCTCCCCTCATCTTCAAAGCCAGTCCTTTCATTGTAGAATTTTATCAAATTGGTCAAGCAGGACTGAATTTAATGTCAGCCTTAAATTTATAAAGCCTCTGCTAAAAAGTAATAGCAGTGAATTTCCTTTAGCAAATAGATCTAGGGAAGATACATCAGAGCTTCTGCTCTGTTCTCAATCTTGTGTCATTTAGGTTCATTCTTTTTGTGTTGCATTGTGAAGGAAAACTTTTCTGTGGGGTTTTTTTGGTGTTTTTTTAAAGAACCACCACCAGCCTACCTTTAAACAAGGTTATACCAAGGCCGAGTCTAAGTCTGATAGCCCCTAATGCCCAGCACTTTTTAAGCTAATGAGAACTGCATATACAGAGAGCTTGTAGATTGAGGTCTTCTGTTTTTTCAACCTTTTCTAAATGTACTTGTAATGAAATTTTCCCTGACAGTGTTGTATTGATCTGTTGTCAATAACTCTAAAATGCAGCAAGTTCAGCATTAAAAATACTCAACTTCTGACAAGGTGTGCTCAGTTAATTGGTTTATTAGTAAAAGACAAAAACATCATTTGCACAGAAAAGAGCAAGTAATAGCTTTGCAAAGCAAAGTCTCAGTAACTTAAGTCACAGATCTTTTTCAAAATGAATACTTAAAGGAACTCATATTCCTATCCTATCTGATGCCATCAATTTATTTGCATCTCTGGTACTGACCAAGCTCCTCAGTTTTGTGTCAACAGCAGTGCTTCAACACAGTGAACAACCAGCCTACTGCTTATCTTTACACAAGTTGCATGAGTATCAAGGAAGTCATTCCTTTATTGAATCACTAATACATGAAGTTGTGATTTCAAGATCAGCTTAAGAATTAAATGTGCTCTGGGGCAGTAGCTGACAGATATTTTGTTTAAATAACAGTATTCCGGAAATAAGAGCTACTGACTAAACACATACTTGATGTAAATGAATAGGATATCATATTTTGTGTTTATATACCACAGTACTTTTTAAATACCAGCTGCCGATTTGCTGGGGACTGCAGCCATCCTGCTGTTACTGCTCAATGCAAAATGTGTATCCCATTTTACTGTGATGTTACTGGTTGCAGGTAGTTAGTTTGTTGTGGAAATAGAATATCTCCTCATGCAATTGTCTTATGTGCATTTTTAAATAAACGTTACAGTCAGCTGTCTTGGTTCAGCATTTTGAATTACCTTGAAATCTGAATAGCTAATCCATCTGTGTGTATATATATATATCTATCTATATCTATATCTCAATTTCCAATCTCTTCCCATTATTGCTGGTTTTTCAAAAATACTCTCTTTTCAACATATGCACAAGCTTTGTGCTCCACCTACTGGCTGATTATCATTGATTATTTAATAAAGCTCTAAATTATTCATCAGTGTTGTTGATACAGAACAAAAAGCTGTCTAGTGCCAGAAACGGGAGAAAAGTGTTAGCACTTGGTAAACAGAGAGTGCAAAGTGTTAAGAATTTAGTATTGCTTTCTACATCAGAAGGAAACTATGAAAAGTAGTGGTCACTGTAACCGTGTAGACCTGAAAACCAGTATTGCCACTGCTGGTAATGGGCCACAGGATTGTGCTGAATTTGCAAGGCCTCAGGACGGATGCTTGCCAAGCTTGCGCTCTCTGAACTTTTCTTGACCTGCCTGCAGCTTTGTTTTGCTTGGT